TTTAGGAATGAGATACCAACCCTCAAGGCTGTACATGCAGCGATCAAGGAAAATGAAATTATACCCCAAATGAGCGTCGAGCTAATGAGGAAATCCCTGCACGAAAATACCTACGCGAAATGATTGAATATAGGCGACAAAGCAGAAAAATCTATTATTTGGGCGAGACATGGGTAAATGCAGGTCACACAGTTAAAAAAACCTGGATAGACAAAAATGTAGTGAGTAACCGACAAGCAAGCATTGAAGGTTTGTCAACAGGTCTTCGTGGACCGTCAGGGAAAGGTCAAAGATTGATCGTAACTCATATTGGTAGCGATAGTCGCTTTTTAGAAGAGTGTGACTTGATTTTCGTCTCTAAGAAAGGAGATGATTACCATGACGAAATGAATGCCAGCTGCTTCGAGAGCTGGTTTCATGGGGTGCTTCAGCGAGTTGAGCCCAACTCTGTGATCGTCATGGATAATGCTTCCTACCATAGTCGTCAAACCGAACGTGTACCGACTATGGGATCTCGAAAAAGTGACATGCAGCAATGGTTGCGCGAAAAAGGAATCCCATTTGACGATTCATGTGTGAAAGCGGAATTGTATGAAAAAATTAAACAGCACAAACCTGCGAACATTAGTTACGTGACTGATGAGATGGCCCGTCAATGTGGTGTCACTGTGCTGCGGTTACCGCCCTACCACTGTGAACTGAACCCAATAGAGCTCATCTGGGCTCAAGTGAAGGGTTATATTGCGCGCCATAACACAACCTTCAAATTACCAGACGTTAAGGTTTTACTTGAGACTTCCATACAGCTAGTAACGCCCGAAGCTTGGCAGAATGCTATCCGTCATGTTGTGAAGGAAGAAACAAAAATGTGGCAGCTTGACCACCACATCGACACCATCATAGAGCCAGTTATAGTCAATTTCAACGAGGAAAGCGATAGCGACAGTTTATTACTAGTCAGATGTAAGTGGAAGCGACGATGAATAAAGGTAATTCCCAAATTTTTGACTTACAATATGTTTCAAACCACTCTTTATTAAGCATGTGACGAATCTAGTTCACCCATGTTAAACATTCATACCCCGCCTATGAACAGCCGACTACTGGTAGTTAAGTGATGTTCACGTGAACATCGATGAGTCATTACAGTTTTAGATAGTTATAGTATATTAGGTGTGTAAAATTACCGAGGCTGGAAGCGTATAAATATAGTAACTCCAAAAAATCAGATATACCCTACCCGCTCTGACCCCCCAGCCCCCCACAACCGATGAAATCTCGCTTTCTAACCCCTACAATTTTTTAGCTGAAAATGACCAGGAGTCTCTGAGGCATCAAAAAACGAACTTTGAGCAATTATTATTTTCTTCGTTTTTTCCCCAGCCAGGCCGCCATGGACCGATTTTCAGAAACTACAAAGCTGTTTCGTCGTTGGTATAAAAGTAACATTGTTTGGAAATTTTCAAGTAACTTTCCAAGTTATAGCCGGCTAAGCATTAACAGGCAGGCCGACGGAAATGAGTGATACGGTTTTTCGTGATGTCATACGAGGGCGGTTCAATAAGTACCCGTGTTAGAAATGAAGACACCATTTTTTCTAAAAAAATTCTTTTTATTTTTCAGCATAATCCCCTTTTAGAAAGATACACTTTTCCCAACGTTCCTGCGATTTTTTTAACCTCGCCAAAAAATAGGATACGTCGAACTCTCCAAAATACGCCTGTCTCGGCGATGACTTCCTCGTTTGAGCTAAATGTTTTCCCCGCGAGCCGTTTGTTCATGTCAGAGAACAAGAAAAAGTCGCAGAGGGCCAGATCTGGTGAATAAGGGGGATGCGGCAGCACTTCATAACGCAATTTATGCAGTTTGGCGGCGACAACTCCGGATGAATGTGCTGGTGCGTTATCCTGGTGAAACAGCACCTTCTTTTTCGTCAAATGTGGCCGTGTCTCCTTCAGTTTTTTGTCGAAGCGATCCAATAACTCACTATAGCACTGTTCAGTGATCGTTCTTCGTTTTTTTTAAAAATACACGCGGTTCGCATCCCAAAAAATCGTCGCCATGACCTTTCCGGCCGATGGGACCGTCTTCGCCTTCTTTGGAGCAGATTCACCTGAAGAAATCCATTGTTTTGATTGTTGCTTAGTTTTTGGTGTGTAATGATGAATCCAGGTTTCATCGACGGTGACAACTCGATGCAAAAACTCCTTTGGATTTCGCTTAAATTGCTCCAAACAGTGCTTCGAAGTTAACAGCCGCATCCGCTTGTTGTCCACCGTGAGCGATCGCGGCACACATCGGGTAGACAATTTTTTCATAGCCAACTTATCATGTAAAATATTGATTGCCGTTCCGGTCGGCACACCTACAGCGTCTGCTACTTCGCGCACTTTCGTTTGTCGATCAGCGAGAATCATGTCGTGGACTTTTTGAATGATTTCCTCGGTAACCACGTCTGCCGGGCGTCCTAGTCGATCCTCATCGAAAACGGAAGTTCGCCCACGTTTGAATTCGTTTTACCAATATCTAACTGTGGTCATAGATGTCCCCATAAACAGCATCCAACTTTGCTATCTCCTCGCATTTTTTCCCATCCAAAAACAAAAAGCGAATTACCGAACGATACTGCTCTTTTTCCATCTTACCGAAAATCACGAAACACGTGTTACTCGAATGGCTGCCAAATCCAAACTAACCTATCAATCAGTCTGAAATTTGTTGTACCGTCCTTTGATAGATGGCAGTACACTATGATAACATTAAATTCCCTCAGGAACGCCCTCTCTCGTCAAACACTGGTACTTATTGAACCGCCCTCGTATAACATCCAAAAACATCTCATTTTCGTAATTATCCCCGATTGCAGTACTTCCTCACCGGTGACGTGGCAAGTGAAAGAACAGAAAATTTGACTATATAACACGCTATGGTTAATATCTCAATTCTAAATATACGAGGGCGGTTCGATAAGCACTTAGCCTACAAAAGAAAAACTAAAATTTTGGAAAAGTGGCGATTTATAGATAGTCTCCTTATAGTTCGATACCCAGCGATGCTCCAGCTTCTGTAACCCGTCTGAAAAATACGTTTTCTGGAGGTCTGCAAAGTCTCTGACTGTCGAACGTGGAGGTACCACCCGGCGGTTCAAGTAGGCGGAGCCAGAATGTGTGCATGTTGCATGCACACGTGTTCCATCGCCAGAGTCCGTGTGGCGTCCCCCCCTTTCCCATGTATCCCCCTATAAAGTCGAACAATGTGAAGTATACACCACTGTTATGTCCTTAAAAAATCGGAAAAGTCCTGGGTTCGATGGTATTAAAAGCGAGCATTTGAAAATTATAGCCGAGGACATAACAGAACCACTCACTTACCTAATCAACAAATGCTTTGAATCTGGCATATATCCCTCAATTTTAAAAAAAGGTAATATAATACCGATACATAAATCAGGAACAAAAACAGATGTTAACAACTATAGATCAATATCAATAATATCCAGTGTAGCAAAGGTTTTTGAAAAAGTTTTATCTACTAGAATGATTCGATACCTCACAAAATTCAAAATTTTAAATGAAAATCAATATGGATTTACAGAAGGGAAGGCTACATCGGACGCAATAACTAAAATTGTAAATCAAATACATCAAAATATTGATAACAGAATCCCTTCAATCTGCATTTTTGTTGATTTAAAGAAAGCTTTCGATACAGTTAATCACAAATTATTATTAGAAGCATTGGAGAGAATTGGTTTCAGAGGAAACGCGTACTCACTGATCGAAAATTATTTGTCAAATCGCCCACAATCTGTGCAGATATCAGGATCATTTAGTAAAGAAATGTATATTAAGTGTGGTGTCCCACAAGGAACTGTCTTAGGTCCGCTGTTATTCAATATATATTTAAATGATGTTTTCCAAATTAATTGTGTTGGCAAAATAACTAGTTTTGCAGATGATACTGCAATATTATATGAAGGCACTGACTGGTCTGATCTGAAAAATGTAATTGAAAATGATTTTATCAAAATTATTCGGTGGTTTAACAGTAGAAAATTAAGCATTAACTACTCTAAAACACATTTTTTACCATTTGGATCTTATGCTAGACATCTGCCAAATTACACAAATTTCTCGTTCAACATTAATGATCAAAAAATGCAAATTAACAGAGTGCCCAACATAAAATACCTTGGAGTGGTCTTGGATCCTCACTTACGATGGGACATCCATGTCAATTATATTTTAAAGAAAGTTAGATTTGTATCCTACAAAATTAAATACCTTGGGAATATATTGACAGAAAAATATCTTCGAACATTATACCATGCACTGATTGAGCCTCATCTCACATATGGTATATTAGCATGGGGAGCTGCATGTTCCTCACATATCTATAATTTAGATGTTTTTCAAAAAAGTATTCTAAAAATGATATTTAAAAAACCGAAACTTTATCCCACTGAAAAATTATACGCAGATGTTCGAATGTATGATATAAGACAGCTTTATTTCTTACACAGTATCACTCACTACCATAAATTTGTAAACACCGACCAAAAAATTAAACATAATCATTATACCAGGTACAAAATTCGTGGCACAGTAGTTCCTCAACCGCATAAATCTATAATGCAGCGATCATATCTCTATTTAGCGCCTAAATTTTATGAAATTATACCTAAAGACTTAAAAGATTTACGTTTCGGAAATTGTTTCAAAAGAAATTTAAAAAAGTGGCTACATTCTATATCTAGGACTGAAATTCATAAACTCATAAATACGAACATCAACTAAATACATAATCTACTGTTGCTAATTTTTGTCATTTTTTGTCATTTGCATACTACAGTTTCAACTTAAATTATTGGTCCATGTACAGGCGATGCCTTCTATTGGGCCTGTTTTGATTTTATATTTATTTACTCATATTGTTTGTTATCTTTGTACATTGAGTAAATAAATATTATTATTATTATTATTATTATAGACCCACGGTACCCAATGGGTGCTTAGGCCTTACGCCTTCGTGGTAGTTGGAGTATAAAAAAAAAGTATGCCTCTGTGGCGGCAATACCCTCCTCATTTGACTTTGAATTTCTTCACGGGGTCAAATCTGGAGAATACGGTGGATGGGGCAGCAGTTAGTGGCCTAATCCGACCAATTTGGCTGTGGTGACGGCGGAGCTGTGAGCCGGTGCGTTGCTATGGTGGAAAAGCACTTTTTTGTTTAGGCCTTACGCCTTCGTGGTAGCTGGAGTATAAAAATAAAATCCAGAATTAATGCAATAACTGCAAGTTCATTCTCTGAAAGTTTTGCCATCTCGACCTCACGTGAACACAACTGCACTGTCAGAGCACGGAGAAAAATACTGACCGGTGTGAATTGAAAACACTGTAAGCTCACGTCAGCGAGAATCACTGGCACGTCACAGCACTCTCACGTCACGTCACGATAGTAAATTTCTCTTGCGATAGTGGCGCCATCGGGCAGTGAGCTAAGTTCTTATCGGCCCTCGTACTTTTTCATTTTCCGCTCCACGTAAAATGCCTGTATTCTAGGTCGAGAAGCCTTATATCCATTTACAAAATGGAGGTGCGCATATTTTGCATTCTCAACGTCAAATTTCTCTCGGCGCCTGCTGTAAACGGGAAAAAAACTTCGCCGAGAACATCCTTCAGAGTGCAATTTCCTGGAAAATGCCGTGTGCCCACAAAACCGCCTTTCCAATGGAGTACACCGCAAAACAGCAGATTGTTCTTTGTTTATATTTGTTCGCGAAATAGCGTTCGCAACGGGAGTGCTTTTGTAGTTATATGACACGCCTAGTTCACTGTCAAAAGTTGGAAACTGTAAGGGAGTCCATGTTAACTTTACAAGGGTAGGCGCCAGGGGCGTGGCGCTTTTTACTTCTTACGTCACAAGTATCGAAATTGAGATATTATATTTTTTTGGTTATTCCACGAATTTTTGCAAAAGGTTACTACTACATATTACAAAGACGAAAAAGCTCTGTAGTTTTTGTGAATCGGTTCAGTGGTGGCGGAGCTATGGGTAAAAACACGAAAACACAGAAATCGAAAGTCGAGGTATTTGGCAACTTCATTTTTGGACGCTTTGCATTTAATAGCTTAAAAACTCTTACACCAATTAGTAGACAAAGATTGTAATCGCGGAAAACTTGGATTTGGGAGATTTTTTTACACCGAAGTAACCGCGCAGGCAGAAGTCTAAATAATGCGATGGCCGAGGCTGCTGTGAGGATCCCAAAGAAACTTTGTTAATCCGATTTTTGAATTGTCTTGTACATTGTTCCACAATCCCGACACCCTACGGATAAAGGAGCGGTCGTATCGGCCAGTTCTGGAAAGGGTCCCGATACTGTCCGGTGGTGAAGATTCATCGATCAGTCGGACAGCCCCATCTGAACAGCATTGAGCAAAGATAATGTAGTCGGGGCGGCAGCACCCCAAACATGTGAGCAATAGGTACTCGAGGCTAGGTGTTATCTGGGCCTTGTATAGGGTGAGGAGGTCATGTGGAGAAGATTACTTCTTAGCCCTAAACAAATAGCCCAGCTTTTTCCCAGCAGCTGCCGTTATAGACGAGATGTATTCGTTCTAGATCAAGTCCTCGGTGATCAGATTCAACACTTGAGAATATTTAAGATGGTTCAAGCATTAGTACAGAATTTATCTGGTTCCCTAATACGGTGTTTAATCTTAATATTCTACACAACTTGTTTTTGAAAAAATTAGTCACGTTTCCTCAAAGCCAAATTGATTTTTTTAAAAGCGTTTCTTGCAAACAGTGCGTCTAAATCTAAACGAAAACTCCATAAGCCAGTTTTTAAGTGAGATCAATCTGGCTTTAAGATACCGATGCTCTTTTTACACAGACTAATGGCGAACTGATGTAAATGCTTTAGAAAACACTTTTGTGTGTGTGAATAAATGCGTTTTTACTTAAATGGCTTTTTGTATAAATACTCCCTAAATAGGCATAGAAATATTATATTTTTCTATAGTTAATCAGACTCACAGATAATAATAATGAAAATATATTTATTTTCCATTTTAGACAGTTTGAAAATACACAATATGTTAGCAAATAAATATTCTAGCGCTCACAGAAGGTACACACGTGAGTTTAAATTGATAACCTAAAAATAGCAAAATTTCTTGATATTGTATTACTTTTCATCCCTTTCTGTTTGTTCCTCTGACCATTTATTTCATATTTATAATGTACTAAGTGACATATAAATCCGAACACCCAGTTTAAATGGTTTTATTTTAATAAAATTTTGTATAAGTACTTAATGAAGCATAATAAGTAAATGATAAAAATTTCAAAATGATTGCACTGCTTTAAAGCCCTTTGACCTTTAATAATGTGTGGATGCGCCCTGATGTGCTACGCATTCTCCAACGCGCCTAGGCATGCTTCTGATCAGGTGGTCAATGTCCTCCTGTGGTATCTCATTCCAGGCAACCACCAACTCCTCTCGAAGTGCTTCTAGAGTCTGAGGAGGACGTTGCAAATTGAGCAATCTCCTACCCATCATATCCCACACGTGCTCAATTGGGGATAAGACGGGAGATCTTGGTGGCTATGGTAACAATGTGACATCATTATGTTGAAAGAAGTCTATTGTGACTCTTGCAACATGTGGTCGGGCATTATCTTGTTGGACAGTTGGATCTGCCAGGGTGTCAAGATAGGGTAAAAGATGGGGTTCTAGAACTTCGTGGATATAACGCTGCGCGTTCATGTTACCTCTGATGAAGATTAAAGGTGACCTGGAACCATAAGCTATAGCACCCCAAACCATAACTCCAACAGTGTGATGAACATGTCTTTCAACAAAAAACTGTGGATTCCTCCTTTCACCACGTCGCCTTCTAACCCTGGCACGACCATCATGCATGCCTAAACAAAATCGAGACTCGTCACTAAAGACAATACTGTTCTATTCCTGATCCCAGAGTGACCGTTGTCTGCACCACTCAAGGCGATTACGTCGGTGTTCTCGAGTTAAAGGGAGGACCCAGTGTGGCCGGTATGAAAACAAGCCAGAACTTCTCATTCGTCGGTAAACACTTCGCATGCCAATAGGTCTTCCGTGTTCTGCAAACCATTCATTTGCAATGGACCTGGTAGTCGAGAAACGGTCCCTTAAGGCCAATAATCTTAGGCGGCGATCTTCACGGTCTGTTGTTCTACGGCGGCGTCCAGTGCCCCTTGCTCTTTGCATACGGCCTTCTCGAAGCCATGCCTGACAACACCTAACCACAGTGTCTACACTTCTTTGCACTCTAACTGCAATTGCCCGAAAAGAAAGTCCAGCTTCCCGAAGTTCCACTATACGGCCCCTATCAAACTCACTAAGTTGACGAAATCGTACAGGTCTCCGTACTCTAGGCATCGTAACCGATCGTAAAGGATGTCAAGAACCAAAATATGATTTTTTTTATAAACATCGGTCCGGAAATGCAGTCTTCAAGATACAGGGTGATACATTTAAAATATCTTTTTATTAATATCTTGAAAAATATTTCTTTTGAAATTTGGCAATATTATTTGTTGTATTAAGAGGCTATTTTGGCCCTGAATAGATTAAAATCATTAGGTTCAGTGGCGTCCCGGGAGGCACCTTAGCAAATATTATTTTTTAAGTTTAATATTTGCTGTTTGATTAAGCATCTAAAAATACAACTTCTCTGCCTTTTGTATTTTTTTCATATCTCACTTCATTTTCGAGAAAAAAAATAAAAACCGTTGTATTGCATGTCACTAGACAAAATTGGTTTATTAATTTTTGCAAAACATCACAAGTGCCTTGGAAAATAAAAAAATCAAAAACATTTGTAGGAAAGAGTGTTATTGCAACTTTTCCAATACGAGGGGTGTTTTTTAAGTTTTGTATATCGAAATAAAACAACACGGTAGGTAGTTTTAAATGACTTTATTGTTTTTCGAAGTATTCTCCAAGAAGATTAATACACATCTGCATGCGCTCGAACCAATTTTCGAAGCACTTATTCCACTCGTTTGCTGGCAGATCCAAAACGGCATTTTTGAATGCGTCAACTGCTTCTTCTGGTGACTGGAACCTTTGACCACGCAGTCTGTTTTTAATTTCCGGGACAGTAAAGAAATCGTTAGGACTTAGATCGGGACTATATAATAATTCCACGTTTTCTTCAGTTAAATACTGCCTTGTTTTTTGGGCTGTGTGCGAGCTTGCATTGTCTTGGTGGAGGATGATTCTTTTTTCGGGGTTGATTTTTCGAAGCTCGGTGATGACTTTTGGCAAACAAATGGTGGTATACCAATCCGCAGTAACAGTTCTTTGCTCATTAAGAGGAACTTTTGCAATATGACCCGCTTTTGACACAAAAGTCGCGACCATCTTTTTCGAAACACTTCGAGAACGGATCACTTTTGTTGGCTTTTCTTCACCTTCGAACACCCAAACAGCCGACTGTCGTTTATTTTCTGGTTCATAACAGTAAATCAACAAGAAACTAATTTTCTTACTCCTAATTCTTCATGTAAAATTTTTATGATTTGAGGTCTTTGAGATCTTCAAGGACGCCTCAATCTCGCGATATGTCACATGTCTATCTTCAATGATGAGTTTGCGCACAGCATCGACGTTTTCCTGGGTGACTGCCGTTTTTGGTGCACCCACCCTGGGATCGTCACTAAGACTCACCCTTCCACGTTTCAGTTCTTCATACCAACGGGAAATTGTCGACTGATGTGGCGCTTCGTTGTCGAAAACAGACAGTAACTCAGCAAGGCATTCTTGTTGCGATAATTGTCTCTGAAAGTTGTAATAAATTATGGCGCGAAAATGTTCTCGGTTGAGTTCCATTTTTCTAATGACTTGGTGACACTTTAAAATTCACTGTAGTGAGAACACTGCACGTATTGTTGTGAAACTTTGAATTTAAGTTTACTAAAGGGTGAGGTTAAGATTCAGTACTGACGTTCGATCCGCGCGGCCTACTATGTTTCTATATGCAAAACTTAAAAGTCGTCCCTCGTAGGTAACATGACATAAAGTATAGATAAGATATTAATATTTTTTTTCAAATTTACCAGCCTGCATCATGAAAACTCTGCATTTCCGGACCCATGTTTATAGAAACTTTTTTAATATTTTTTAACAAGGAATCATCTTCTAAAATACCTGTCTATTTTTCGAACACCCTTTATATTACTTTTAAAATAGTTTTTTGGATGAATGAGTTGAAGCACTTGATATCTCACATTATTTTCAAGTATTTTAATTTATATAGTATTGTTTTTAATTTTTTAACCGTGATATGTCCCAGCCTTTATTTCTCTTATTTCCAGGAAACAGCCCAAATCGTTTGCATTCGACCACTGCTTTTGTTCGGTAGATCCAGCAAGCCCAGGTTTCGCGTCCCAAGAA